TGTGGACTCCAACCTGCTTTCTGCCTTCACTTCCTGATGGCCAGGTGATGGCAGAGGACTTCTAGGTGTTTGGAGGGAGCCCTTCCTACCAGAAAGAGATTATTCTATTCACAACAATTATTTCAGGATTTTTGGAGAGTGTGTGTGTGTCGGGGGGGGGGGCAGTAAAAGAATTCTCCAACCTTGCTGCAGTGACCAAAGCAGGCAGACTGGGCCAAGGCTGAGGGTATGGAGTGTTAGATGAGTTATGTGGATAATGGAATTACTAGAAATGATACCAGAGGAGTGAGCAGAGATACAGTGGAGATACAGTGGTGTTCTGTGATCCATGTGTTCAGAGATCCATGGCTGCCAGTGACAGGAAGGGCCACAGGTGCAATACTGAACAGCATGTGTTGCTCCAAGGCTGGGACTGAGGAAGCAGAAAAACAGCAAAGTGGATGCCAAAAAGAGAAGCCATCTGCAGTCCTCAAGGGGGATGACAGAGAGAAAAGGGAAAAATGCTAGGTCAGAAAGTCTCTGACAGGGCTGGGGATTTAGCTCAGCAGTTCTGCCGCCTGCCTCGCAAGCGCAAGGTCCTGAGTTCGATCCCTGGTATCAGAAAAAAGCAGTCTCTGACAGAACCAGGTCCACATGTTGGAATCTTCCAGAGGGTCTGAGAACCACAGGTGTCCAGGCGCAAGCCCTGGGGATCCTGCAGCATTGGGCCTAACAAGGGCAGACTCCAGAGCCAGCGCTCAGGCCTCCCCAAGTGCCTCCATAGCAGAGGGGTGGACCAGTGCCGCTGGGCAGGTCTCGCTCACAGGGTCTGTTACAGATGGCTTCATTACGCACCATTTCTCCTGCATTTTTGGAATGATATGTATAAGGAGATTGTATCTATGGACTGAATTTTATGCTAGCAAAGGGGTTAGGGAACATTTGCTACAAACAGGGATCTTGAAGGTGAGAACAAGTGACGTCAGGGACTGTGCTCCAGGGCACAGAGCAGGCTTTGGGGTCTGTGTCCAGCCAGAGTGAAGAGGGTCAGCAGGCCAGACAAGGACTTGGACACAATGAGGTTTGCTCTGGTGGTACAAGGGTAAATTTGGGTTGGGCAGCTCTGAACAGACACACTATGGGAGCTGGCCAGGTTCCTATAGGGGCTACCAGCCGCCAGATGGCAGCAGAGGACAGGTAAGGGGCCAGGTCACAGTGGGAGTGCTGGAATCAAGCCCCTCAGAAACAACTGTTCTAGGACGCTTTGGCTTAGGGGCCAGGTGTCCCCACCTGTTTTACTGTAATATGCCCTGAGACTGGCACCTGTCTAGCTAGCCACTGAGGAAGGATTTGTCACCCACGGCCCTTCCTCATTTCCTGCTGTGACCAGGCCCCAGGCAATATAGCTCTTCACAAACTCTCAGGCCACATTCCCTGCCCTAAACACTGTTGCCTGCTTCGGGCCTCCTGTGGCGCTGGCCCCCCACGCCTCTGTCCCCTTCCCTCTTGCCACTCCATCTGAGCAGTGTGGAGGGAAGATGCCAACCCCTAGAGGGGAGACACAGCACTATGGCCTCAAGGCCTAGCATGACTAGAGGTCTTTGGGTCTGGCCCCACCGCCCCACTTCATGCAATACACAGGGACCCTCGCCTGCGTTCCTGACACTCCTACTCACCCCGACTCATTTGCTAACAGCCTGTGCATTGTGTCTGTGCTGCTGTCCCAAGCCTAATACTGCTTGGCACCCAGTGGATGTGCCTGGCCCCAGCTCACCTGCCAGGTCCTGATGGATAGGACAGGCCCGCCCCCGGGCAAGGTGCCACCTGCTCAGACATAAAAGCCTGGTGTCTGCCTAGGTAGTTTCTGAGACTGCCACTATGAAGGGGAGCGGCAGCCTCCTGCTAGTGACCCTCGCTGTGCTCTGTGCCTGTGGTAAGTCTGGGCCAGGTTTCCAGCACATTTAGAGCCAGGGGCCTGGGGTACAGTGGATACCACTCGCCTTCCTCACAGATCACCCACGGAAGAGCAGACAGTGCTAAGCCAGTCCCCACCCAGGCTCCCAGCCCATTATCACCCCTTCCAGTTCAACCCAGCACGACCCCACTCTCTGAGCCCTAGCTGAGTCCAGCTTCACATCAGGGAAGGAGGTGGCCCCTTAACAGAGCTCGGCTTTCCTTCCCTGCTGAGGCCAGGAACAGAGTGGAAATTGGATGCTGAGATCAGGGGCGGTGGGGAGGGACCTGTGGCATGTAGGGCTGTACTGTTAGGGAGGAGGATATGGTGAAGACCACAGAGCTTAGAGGTCAGGGGTGGGCCCTGTCCCGGTGTCACTTTCCTTTGCAACACAGGGCTGGCCGCAGAGGACAACAATGAATTCTTCATGGAATTCCTCCAAACACTGCTGGTTGGAAGCCCAGAGGAGCTCTATGATGGGCCGCTTGGCAAGTACAATGTCAACCAGGGTGCCAAGGAGGCGCTGACAGAGCTCAAGTCCTGCATTGATGGTCTGCAGCCCACGCACAAGGCGGATCTGGTCGAGTTGCTGGTACTGGGGCCAGGGAACCCTTTCCCTCAAGGCCTAAAATCCTTCCAAGACCTGCCCAACACATGGTTCCTAGTCACCAGTCCAAGGCAGCACCCCACAGCCTATCTCCCACAGATACCAAGGTCAGGTGGATACCCCAGACCTTTGTACCCATAGAGAAGCCCCCCGGGCCCTTTGATGTGCTCCCTGCCCAGCCAGTGGGTCATGACCTACACAAGCATGTGTACACACATGTACATGCAGGTGCACCCATGAAAACATGCATGTACATGCTTCCTAGCCGCTGGGGAGTATGTCAGAATGAGCCCACACCCATCTCTCCCAGAGGGGGCCCTGGCTGTCTGACTCAGGAAGCAGTGGCTCTCTGGTTATTGGTCACCAGCTTTCTGGGCCCACACACATCTGCCTTCCAGGAGCAAGTGCTGGGCAGTGAGGATGACGCCTGAGTGGACCTCAGACATGGACCCCGACACCACAGGACCAGCCACACCAGCACCCCTGGACGTGCTGCCCATGGCTGATTCCCTATGAGTAAACTGACCCTCAAACTGTTCGACCAATAAAGCCTCCTGCAGCCTAGGCACTGGCTCCTGTTTCTCCCCTAACACAGAGACACACAAAAGGCCACCTAGAGCACAATCAGGGGCACACCCAAACAAACAGACTCAGGTGTGTGGATCAGACACAAGAGGCCCACCCAGAGGGATGCACAGCAGCAGGCTCACATGATCCCAACAGGACCCCAGGAGACACCATGTGGCAAGTGATGGAGCACAGAACCGGGAAGGCATCAGGTAGAGAGAGGTCTGGGCAATGGAGCCAGGGAGAGCAGAGCTCAGAAAGAGGAAATGTCCAGGGCTGGGTGGGGAGGGACACTTCCCAAACTATCTGTGCTGGGTGCTATGTCTGAAAACCAGTGGGTGACTCAGGAGAGCAGCTGTGCATGGGAAATGTGACAGCATGGGCAGCACATACATGGACATCAGGGGCTTTGAGAAGAGTCTCTTCCCAAAGTCACCCAAGGAGGGAGGCCCCAAGTGGACCCTGAGCTTAAGAGGTCCCTGATGATGTCAAGAGAGCACCCCAGGGTCCCACAGTGGGGTGGGCAAACTGGGTCTAAGGAAGGTCAACAGGAGTGGTTTCCCCATCCTGGCTTCTGCTCAACACAACACAGATCCCAATCTGACTCTGGACCCAGGGCCCCTGGCAGCCAGAGCTTCCCTGCACCTCAGTCTCCCCAGTGTAGGGACTCTGATGGGGCAGGGCTGACTTCTCACCACTTTCACTCCTGGGCCGTCCTAGGCTCCCTTGTCCCAGACACCCCAAAGAACATCAAGATCTGGTGAGAGGAGAGTCCCTGGAGAAGGTGGGGGACCCAAGTGAGAACGAGGGTACCTGGAGAAGGGGTCCCTGACAAGGTGGGATCCCTGGAGAAGGTGAGGTCCCTGGAAAGGGTGGGACCAGTGAGGGCCTGGGCTCGGACCATTGTCTCCATCATACTGTGATCTAGAATTCCCCATCCCACAAAACCACATTCTAGAGCTCAGGGAACCCTCCCCAATTCTCAAGCCCCAAGGGAGAAGGGAATCCTTTCTCTGTGTTCTTTTCCCTGGAACTGCCTGGCACTGAGACCCGGACTGCCTGCAAGGAGGCTGGGTGGCAGGCCACTCTGAGCTGCCCCACCCAGAAGAGGTAAGGCTCCAGCCCCTACCCACCCAAAACACAGCTGCACCATGGGAGCTTCTTACCAAGTGAGGAGCAGCATTTTTCAAACAGAAGGAGCCTGCCCAGGTCCCCCGAGCCTAGAGGATGGTCAGTCACTAGCCAGAGTGACCACAGACCTAGAGCTGGAGAGGCCTGAGTCCACCTCACCAAGCAGAAAGCTCCCACTGCCCATGACTGCTTGAGATCCTGTGGAAGCTACAGCCTACGGCTCTGCTGCCTCAGCATCAGGAGGACCAGGGAGGAGGCTGTAGGGGTGGGGATGAGACAAAGCAGGACTTCTGGCACCTGTCCCTCTCTTGGCCACAGAGCCAGCTATGGCAGAGGAGGTGTGGGTGGGTACCTGGAGGCCCCATCGGCCCCGGGGGCCCATCATGGCCCTCTACAGCAGCCCTGGCCCCAAGTACCTGATTCCACCTACCACAGGTCAGCAGGGGACTGGCAGGGGAGTGGGGATGGCAGCCTGGGGTGGGTTTGGTGGGCTAAGTGAGTCTGGGTGATCTGGAGTGGATCTGGGTGGCCTGAGTGGCCTGGGGTACACCTGGGTTGGCCTGAGGCTTCATCCCAGGCTGCCAGTTGGGTCAAAAGGGCATCTGGTTCCAGGCTGCTCAGAGCCACCATGTCCACAGGTTTTGTGAAACACACGCCCACCAAGCTGCGTGCGCCAGCCTACAGCTTCTGTGGGGCCCCCATGCTCCTGGCAGAGAACTGCTCCCCAGGACCCCGCTACAGCGTGAACCCCAAGATACTAAGGACCGGCAAGGACCTTGGCCCTGCCTACTCCATCCTGGGGCGCTACCACACCAAGACCATGCTGACCCCAGGCCCAGGTGAGGGACCCCACCACATGCTCCCAACCCAGGGAAAAGGGACTGTCCCCACATCATTCCCCACTGTCCCTTCTAGGGGGGGCACTGTGTGTCCTAATACGTCAAGGGGAGGTGTACCTTGTCTACCCTGTCCTCTTCTTCTATTCTCAGGGCACCATCAGGCCCTAACCCACAACCCCTGCTCCAAACAGCTCCTATCCCCCAGCCCCAAAGCCAGAGTTTCCATCTTGGACACTCCTGGCCAAACCCTCTCACTGCCCATTTCGGGGCCCAGAGCTTCACACCTGGAAGGTTGGGATATTCTTCTTGAATGCCTGAGGGGATGGGCACCTGCACCCTCACCCCCACACACCAGGGATCAAACTCAGACCTTACACCTGAGGCAGGCTCAGCACCAAAATCTAAACCCCCGGCCCGCAGCCTCACTCCTATACCTTCTTTCCACCGCAGGTGACTACTTTCCAGAGAAATCTACCAAGCGCGTGTTCGACTCAGCTCCCAGCCACTCCATCTCTGCCCGGACCAAGACCTTTCGGGTAGACAGCACTCCAGGTCTGCAGCAGCCCAAAGACACCTGGATGGCTGGTGTCTGGGTCCCCCAGGGTAGATGAGAAGCAGCTCCGTGGCAGATGGAAGCTCTGTGAGCGCTGGCCTGAGGCTGCTGTCTGCCCTGCAGGTCCCGCCGCTTACATGCTGCCCGTGGTGATGGGACCGCACACTGTGGGCAAGGCCTCCCAACCCTCCTTCTCCATCAAGGGCCGCAGCAAGCAAGGCAGCTTCAGCGACGACCTGCACAAGGCAAGGGTCACCCAGCCCTGGATAGGACACGGTTCCTAAAACCCTGGACCCCCTGCCCACCGCAGCACTGCTGAGGCACCTTGCAACCTTTGCCCTCTGAGTGCTTGGGGAGGAGGGCACCAGCAAGGGAGACAGTGCCAGGGCTGAAGACAACCAGAGAGGGTTATACAGAGCCTACATATAAGGTACAAAACACTTTTTAAATGCTTCAGAGAACAAAGAGAGAAGAAAAACTAAGCTCTGGGCCGTTGGGGAAGGATGGTTCCTGCTCTGTCGACAGTCAGTGCAAAGGTCCTGGGGCGAGCATGTGAGGCAGCATCAACATTCAGTGCTAGTCTATCACCAGCCACAGGGCACAGCCCTCAAGCCAAGAGTAGTGTCCCAACTATGAAGGGGCCTCACACACTTTCACATACATTGACTGGCATACACTGGCAGTGTCACTGACACAATAAGGCTGAAACTGAGGGGCTGACCCCCAGAGGTACCCCATGGGAGACAGAGACATCTCAGAGCTCCCCCTGGAGACTCAGGATCTGAACTGTCCCTTTCCTTGGCCCTCTGGGATCACAAGCCATGGGCAAGGTAAACCTACCTGTACCATCTTCACCTCCCAGACCCCAGGTCCTGCAGCATACCGCCAGACAGATGTCCAGGTGACCAAGTTCAAGGCTCCACAGTATACCATGGCCGCACGGGTGGAGCCCCCAGGGGACAAGACCCTCAAGCCAGGACCAGGAGCCCACAGCCCTGAGAAGGTCCGGGACACACCACAAGGGGACAGGAGGGGAAGGGTTGCACCCTGTAGGGGCCTCAAGCTGTTACACTTGCCCCAAGAGCAACCTTTTGGGCACAGAGAACCAGAGCTGTCCTCTGCCTTGCCAGCAGGCCCTAGGTCCCAACTCCATGATGGCCACTGCTGCTGAGTGCCGGTCCGGGAGGGACAGCACCCAGGCCCGAGACACTGCCAAGAGCCCTCCTCATAGCCCCTCTTCTCCTAGGTGACGAAGCACAAGCCCTGTGCCCCCACCATCACCTTCGGCATCAAGCATTCTGACTACATGACACCACTAGTTGTTGATGTGGAATAGCCTCAGCCCTGCACCCCACAGCCTGGATCCAGCTCATCCCCACGAGACTCCCAGGGCAGATGCAGGCTGGATATCTCCTTCCAAGCAGAGCCACAGGAGGGGGACCCTGCAGGATGGAGCATGTTTGTTTGGACACTTGTGACAAATTTTTTTTTCTATGCTACCTTCCCATTTGCTAGTCTTGCTTCCTGTTGTTGCCCAAATTACTTAATAAATCACAAATTTCAATTATGAGGCTTTGTCTTGGGAAAAAACCAAGCTTGTCCACAGCTTTCAGTGCAGGCCCACATGAGGTCTCATCCCTGGCTTCCCAGTCTTCAAAGAGAGACCTCAGAGCCTTGCCTCATACCTACAGCCCCTTGGAGAACCTGGACCACCACGGATAATGGGGCACTGGAGAAGTGCTACTGCCTGACACCTTCTATGTGTCCAAGTTGTGAGGAAGCTTGATAAATGTGAGGGGCCTTCAATGGCAGAGCCAGCCCCTCTGCAGCTGAGGCCTCACTATGGTAAGCAGAGCCAGCCATGCCCACTGGGCTGTCTCAAATTCTGGCACAGTAACAATGAGACATGATAGACCACTGTTGCTATGTTGAGTGACAGTCTCAGGAAAATCTGTTACCTACCAAGAGCTAACACAGGATGTGGGGAGGGACGCTGGCATCTCAGCTGGGCCTGGAGGATCTGCACGGGTTCCCCAGACCCACAGCCAGGCCTTGAGAATCTGGACTCCCCTTGGCCCAGGAGAGGTTCATGCTGGGCAGGCGGCCTATTTTGCATACCAAGAGGCTAAAACCCACATTAGCACAGCAGAGGTGCTGACTCCTCTGCTGTGTGTGACCAGTTGGGCAGGGCACTCCAGGACTGTCACATTCCCTTACCTCTACGAGGTGATGCTGTCATGCCATGCACGTAGTGACTTGGCAGAGAAGGGTCACACAGCAGAAGGTGGTGTGGTCCTATGGCTGCCCTGCCAGAGGCTGAGCCAAGGGGGCAGCAAGGGGGGACAAGGGATCCTGGGAGAAGATGGGGAAGGGAGAGGCTCTGCATCACCTAACTAAAACAAAATAAAAACTACCTCTCTCAAATCCCTAGAAAAGAGGACAAAGAAATACATAACTCCTTCTTCACAAAGCTGTTTATTCCACATCTTATTCTTGAGATGTCCCTAACCGTGAACTACAGCCTGGCAGCTCACCCTCACAACCCTCACCCTGGGTCTTTTTCCGGTTTACTACTGTTAGAAATCAAGTTGGCAAACCCTACTTACCCTATGGGCCAGGTGTCAGGTGTACAAGGCCAAGCTGCAGCACTAGGGTTAGGGGCTCTCAGGGAAGCTGATCTGACACCCCCCCTTCACAGGATTCAAAGACACAGAAGGTGGTTCTGCCACCTGCCTCAGATGCGCAAGGTCCCGAGTTCGATCCCCGGTACCAAAAAAGACAAAGAAGGAACAAAAAAGTAAACTGGGAAGGAGTGACAACACACAGACCAAAGACAGCCAGCAGGGCTGCAAACAACTGGAGACAAGAGGCCTGAGGAGAGAACGAAGAACCAAGGTTACAGAGATGTGGCAAAAATCCTCCAGGGGAAAAGCACCCTAAAATGCAAGTCTAAGTCTAGTCTGCCCCAGCAAGATAAGCAGGCAGTGGCCACGGTGAGTGTTCTGGGGTCTGATTTCGTTCCACAGTTTGGTCATGTTATGTTCAGAGTAAGTGAAGTCAGCAGTGTGTGGCTCAGGATGTCCCCCAAGGGGGACATGGAGCTGGAGTGTGACTGTGCTCTCTACAATGCCTGCAGAACCAGATGGGGACAGGATACAGGCAGGAACCATACTTGGTGACAGCGAAAGACTAAGCGGAAGCCATGTTGCCAGGTCAGGGTGGCAGGACCTATAAAAGGAAGACCAAGGAGGGACCACAAGCAAGACCGGGCCACTGGGGGTAGGGGTTGTCAGGGAAACAGCAAAGCCACAGAAAAGGAGAGGCAGTGAGAAGGTAGCAGGCACTAGAATGAGCAGAAGTCAAAACAAAAAGGAGGGTCTTCCTCCCTCAGAAGACGTAGGGGCTCAGCCAGACCCAGTGCAGGAGCCAGGAGATGAGAAGAGGGAATTGTGTGAGCATGTGTGGGGAAAGGCAGGCCTGCTGGGTAGAGGAAGAAAAGGGTGGGTGGTCGTGCCTGCAGAGGGAGCAGGGTGGGGCCGTGGTGATCAGAAGGCAGTTTGTAGCTGATCACTCAACTCAGAACTCAGAAGAGTTCTAGCTGGACAAGACTCACGGTGTGGACGTACAGGTGGGCAGACAGTGAGCTACTGGTCCTGGGGAGGGTGGGAGTGGCTGGAAGGCAGACTGGAATAAGGAAAGAGAAGGGCACAAAGCTGCACAACTCATTCCTTAAAGATTCTTTATGCGAAGACAAAAGTGATAGTCTCCCAAAAGTTGCTGGCCCTGCCAGTCTCATAGTTCAGTTTGCGTGAACGTGGGACTGGCCAAGCATGTGTGAAGAGACAGGGAACGGTAGGGAGGGAGGGCAGTGTGCAGGGGATGGGAGGGTGGCTCAGAGTGCCCCCACTGCAAGGGGAGAGTAGCTAAGGGAGGCAGGCAAGGGTGTGGCAGAAGAGCAAAAGCTCTGCTACAAATGGCACAGTGGCCTCTCAGCAGCCTGCAGCTCCAAGAGAGCCTTCTAGGGGAAACCTCCCCCAAAACTCTACCTGACAGTGAAAGGCCTGTCTGGCACTGGAGAGGTTCTGAATCCTGAGCACATCCATTTCTGTTCCTAGACACAGGGCCCTGTCACCCAGAAGGCTCCCAGCCCAGTGTATCCAGCCAAGGCTGTGGTCCATGCCTTCATCAACAGTCCCTACCCTTCCTAGGGTTTGGCTTCCTCTAGGGACTGGAGGGCACAATCCTTCCCCAAGAATACTTGGCCCACATCAGACCACCCCTGCTCAGCAGTCTTTGCCAGGAGTAACTGTCACATTCAGACTGAGGACCTCAGGTGAAGGAGCCAGCTCTTATTGGGGTCAGTCAGTCCCTTCCTGTGGCAGCCCCCAGACTCCTCAGCTCACAGACAGGTCCTCACTCAGGAACAGACAGCACAGAAAGGCCTTAAGATCTCAGAGCCGAGGGCTGGGAAAAGGGCAGGTGGCCATGTGGGCACATTCAGGCCTCACAACTGCTCTGCTCAGAGCTGGCTGGTTTTGGTGCACTGTGGCCCCAGCCTGGCCAATGTCTCTAGCACCAGGAGTAGAGGTGGGGGCTGGGCCTTGCTTTGCCCAAGGGAAAAGGTCCTTCCACATGGGACCAAACAACATGATGAGCTCATCAGGTCAGAGGCCCCACCACACAGGAAGAAGATTCCTGACCATGATGGTGATTTCAAAGTAGTATTTTGCAGATAAGTCCTCAGGAGGTCAGGATAGCAGGTGGAGAAGACCCTGGTACTTTTGGCTCCCACTGGTTCATGTCCTTGCCCTTGACAAGAAGTAGGAAAGGATGAAGAAGGCCACGAGCAGGCCCACAGCCATGCCACACAAAAGCTTCCGGTTGTCTCGCCCAGACCGTGCCATCGTGGAAAACCGCTTCACACTCCCCGTGAGCAGGCCAGTCACGCTTGTGAAATCTGAGTCCTGGGGCAGGGGCAGCAGGATCACAAAGGGCACCATCTTGAATACCACTGCCCCCCACCATCACTGGACCACAGACTGCAAAGCTAGCAGCATGGAGTGGCTCCTGCACCCTGCAGACCCTTACCATGCTGTCCAGGTATCGGTTTTGGTCTTCTGCATCCCTATCGATGTCCAGGGCCAGCTGGTAAGGACACAGAGCAAAGTCAGGTCAAGGAAGACAGCACTCATTCTCCCCTCCAACCAGTCAGACCTTGTCCTTTTAACCCTGCTGTACAGGATGCCACCAGCAAAGGTTAGAAAGCTGCCTAAGCTGCCTAAAATCCCTCAGAGTCCTCTCTGCATCCTCTTACCCCCTTGAGGTGGAGATGAAAGGTGGGAAAGGGACCACCACTGACCGATTTGAGCCTGGTAACCTTGGAGGCCAGGCTATCAGTCATCCGCTTGTTCTCCCGGTCTAAAATCTCCTCCACAGCACCAGAGCTCTGAGCTATGAAAAGAAAGACAGACTAAGAAGTTGCATATACCCATGAATGAAACTCCAACCCTCCTCACCCCAATCAAGTCTGACTGAGTCAGACTTCCCAACAAGTGGACCATGCACTTGAGGGACAGGCGTGTAGAACTATCATGTGAGTAGAGATCCTTCGTGCAGACCCAGGTGGGGGTTGGATGGGGCTCCCACAGGCTGTCTAAGCAGCCCCTCCTGATGCCGTGGCAGAATATGGATTAACCCTAGGAACACTGGAAAGATGCACTTGCCTCCAGAGATATCATCATCTATGGCTATGGGACTGTTCTCAAAGAAAAAGAGTAAACTCCGGTAGGGTCACAAGAAAGACTGAAAGAGCATCCAGAAAGATGGCAGGAAGCCCCTTTACGACAAAATAAGTGAATAAAGCTCCTCAACCACCCATAATTATCGCTGGGCTTGGCTTCCTGTGACACCCATGGTGCCCGCGGAAACCTGGCAGGGATGGGCCAAGTGAGGTGACATTCCCAAGCATGTAACATGGGTGAGAACCGCCGCTTCTAAACACAGTGCAAATTCTCGCTGGCCCGACGCACAGTAAGAACAGGCGATGTGACCTATGGCGAGAACTGCAGCCCTAGGAACCACCAGCGTGCTCAGAGCCAGAAGGAAGGGTGCTGGCTTCCTGACAACCACCTTCTTCTCTTTCACAGAACAGAGACCGAGACGCCTGGGCCTCAAGTCAGTGGACGCCTGCTCGGACGCCTGCTCGGACCCCTGCATCCGAGAAGCGTCCGGCCAGGACCCTGAGGCTCCACCCAGCTTTCAACCCAGGCAAACCATCTGCGGCCCTCCCGGCCTCAGTCCCAGCCACCTCCCCACCAACTCGGCCCAGAAGCCCGGTCCGTCTCCGCACAGAGACGTGAGGGAGGCGAGCGGTGGCTCGGCCCCGTCCCCGGACCCGCCGCACGACCCCGAACCCGCTTTCGCGCGCACACCCCGAGTCCAGCCCGCCATCGCAGTCGGCCGGCGCCGGCAGCTCACTGACGCACCGCGAGCGAGCGCGGTAGACGTGTCAGGGGCGCCGGGATACACTTCCGGCTCCGGCTCCCACAAGCCCCTCCCCTTTCGACCAGTCCCGCCCGACTTCCGGCCGAAGGGCTGTGGCACTGTGGTGAAGTTAACGACGTTTTCGCAGGCCTAAATTAGGGGAGGAGCGGGCTTGGGCTCTCGGTTCGCCCGCCGGTTGTTGGGCCGGTGTTCTGTCAGTCAGGCCCTGCCGGCCAGCGGACCAAGGCGTAGGTGGGACCGAGCGGACCTGAACTGGAGTGACTCGGGCCAGAAAACCGCCTCTGGAAGGCAGAGGTGGGCGCTCGGGACAGTGCATAAAATGGAGGTGTGAAGAATTGCGGAAAATGAAACGAGGACACACGGGACCGAAAGAGCCTTGAAGAGCCCCGCTCGCGGAGCCATTGGGCGGGCTGCGCGTAGTCACCGCCCGCACGGGCCCCTGCCTGTGTGCCTACGATCTTAACCACACCGTCTGAAGCAGACGGGCCGGCCAGCTGTCTCCAGCAGGCCCCGGGGCCAGGCCGCAGGGTCTCCCGCAGCCCCCCACCCAGCTCTGGAAGCACCTTGCACACCCCAGCTCCTCTGGTTTCTCCCGTGAACTCCGCCAAGGCAGGGGCCGGCAGGTCCGGTCGGCCCGCCTCCCTAGCGTCTCCCACGCAGCGAGCTTTCTGCAGTTGCCCACTGGCTGTACTTGGGCATCGGCTGGGTGCGGGCGAGAGCTTCATCTGCTGGGACACAGAAGGGATCGCGGACCGTGAGCCTCGCCTGTTCCAGACTTGGCCTGTATCGGTTAGCCCAACCTAGCCCGTGCCTTTCAGCCGTTCCACCTTAAGCAGCGGACCTCGAGTCCCCGCCCATCGTCGCCGGGTCCCAGCACCCACCGCGCGCCGATTCGGGGCTTCAAGATCAGGGCGGGGCTGGCGCACTAACCAGCTAGGTTTTGGCCGGCTAGACTTCGCCGCCCCAGGTCTCGGGGCTATGGAGCCCCGGGCGGTGGCCGATGCAGTGGAGACTGGGGAGGAAGACGTGATTACGGCGGCTTTGAGAACGTACAACCAGGAGGTGAGCGGAACCCGGAGTCAGGACAGGGACGGGGATGGAAGGAAGGGGCGTCGTGTGGGTGTGCGGTCAGACTGGAATGACTGTGGCGCAAGCTCTAAGCGTGCGTGGCGGGCGCGAAGGGCCTGGGTGGTTCCCTTGGGGGACAACTGTGTGGGTGGCCAGCGCACTCTGACGCCTGTTCAGAGGCAACAGGCCGCCCCACCCCCATCCCTCAAAGAGCACAGGTCCTACCTGCATGAAGGCCTGAGCCCACTGTGTCTCTGTAGCACTCGGAGAGCTTCACCTTTGAGGATGCCCAGCAGGAAGATAGGAAGGTGGGTGCTAGCCCCAGGGGTAATGGGACGGGGAGGGGTGCCCCACGAAGAGAGCCTGGTGGAGCCACTATCCTCCCTGCCCACAGAGACTCGCAAAGCTGCTGGTGTCTGTCCTGGAGCAGGGCTTGCCACTTTCACACCGTGTCACCTGGCTGCAGACTGTCCGAATCCTGTCCCGGGACCGTAGCTGCCTGGCTCCATTCACCAGTCGCCAGAGCCTGCACGCACTAGCTTCCTATGCTGACATATCTGCCTGTGAGGGGTCTCTCTCAGAGGCCCCTGACATGGACGTTGTGCTCGAGTCCCTCAAGTGCTTGTGCAACCTTGTGCTCAGCAGCCCTGTGGCACAGGCACTTGCTGCCGAGGCCCACCTTGTGGTGAAGCTTACAGAGCGTGTGGGGCTGTACCGCAAGAGGAGCTTCCCCCACGAGGTGCAGTTCTTTGACCTACGGCTCCTTTTCCTGCTAACAGCGCTGCGCACTGATGTGCGCCAGCAGTTGTTTCAGGAGCTGCATGGCGTGCACTTGTTGACTCATACACTAGAGCTAACGCTGGGAGTGACCCCTGAAGAGAGCCCCCCTGAAGTCCTTCCTCCCCAAGAGACTGAGCGGGCCATGGAGATCCTCAAAGTGCTCTTCAACATCACCTTCGACTCCATCAAGAGGGAGGTAGAGGAGGTAAGTTGTGGCCTGAAACCATTGTGGGGCTCACCTTTGCTGAGACACTTCGTGGATGTGTCTTCTACAGTACCTTCAGGTTCCTGAGTGTCAGATGTTGAGAGGACAGTAGGACATACCAGGAGATGACTCCAGGCAGAGACCTTAAGGAAGATTTCCAAGGGAACTGGGGGCCTAGTAGGAAGTATGGGGTGCTTAAGGAGGCTATAGAATATTCTCTACTTGTGGGGCCAAGGCCCAGTGTGACTACTTCCTAAGGGGATCCATTTATGTCTTAATCTAGAAAGTGCACTTGAAAGCACACTCATGGACTTTTGCCTTTAGCTTGGCACTGGTCACACTGGTCAAGGTCACCAGATGTAGTCAGGGAACTGCAGTAGTTAATACCACACAGTCCTGGAATGCAGTAGTGGAGATGAATGGAGCTCCCTCTCACAGGAACCCTTTCTACTTTTGGTCAGGAAGATGCTGCCCTTTATCAATACTTGGGGACCCTTTTGAGGCAGTGTGTGATGATTGCTGCTGCTGGAGACCGCACAGAGGAGTTCCATGGGTGAGACCACAGCCTGTCATGCTGGGAGAGACATGCTTGAGCCCTAAATGGTGGTCCCCAACCCTGGCTGTAGACCAGAACCACTGGAGAACCCAGACCCAACTGTAGAGTCCAGCTTTTTCAGGGAAACCAGACATCAGTATGTTTTCAGAGAGCCTCAAGTCAGGACATGGCCAGGACAAGAACTATGGATTTAGGGGCAGAGTAGTGTGGGCATGGTATCACAGGGCAATGTAGTCCCTTGCTCCTGACTTGTGCTTGGGCTGAAATGGGTTCCCAGAGATGATTTTGTGCTTCAGCCTAGATAGGTTGGGGCAAGTGGGGTTTTGGTGAAAGGTGCTGTCCCTCTACCCCACACCTGAGTGAGGTATCTCTCAACAGTCCCTGCCCTTGTCTATGGTCCTTTGTGCTGTTCTGAGGGCCCCTGGACCCTGGCTCACATCATGTGACCAAGTAATGTACCAGGGGTTGCATATGTGCTAGGGGATCAGCCCCATCAAGGCCCCTCTCCATCTGTCCTCAGGCACACGGTGAATCTCCTAGGGAACTTGCCCCTGAAGTGTTTGGATGTCCTCCTCACCCTGGATCTACATGAAGGCTCTTTGGAGTTCATGGGAGTGAACATGGATGTGATCAGTGTCCTCCTTGCCTTCCTAGAGAAGCGCCTACATCAGGTAGGCAGCTGTAGTCTCTGCTTCTGCACTGTCCACACTGGCAAGTACAGGTCATCTTGGTGGTGTGATTTGGTTGACTCTTCAGCTGCTCTGTGGTCCAGCCAAGTAGCCAGACCACTGGAGCCTTCCTCCTTCAGAAGCATGTGAACACCCTGCACACTTAAGGCCTCACTTATACCGGTTACTAAAGGCAACAAGTTTCTCAGAGTCTGAGAAGGTACTTGTCATCTTTTAGCAGTTCTCTTATGTGGTCGTGAGAAGCCCCCAGTTCCTGCTTATGATCCTTAGACACCTAGTGTCCCTGTGTAATCAATGAAAGCCCTTGGTGGCAATCGTCAGCTGTTCCTTGGGATCCTAAAGAGACACAGGAGCTTCTAACCGAGCTTCCCTTTGACTTCTGCAGGTACACCACAGGACATCTGGAAGGCTGAAGCTCTAACCAGTCCTTCCTGAGTTTGCATATGTTAAGCAGGCAAAAGAGCTACAGGTTGAGGTTCAGTAGATTGCTGAGGAATCCATGTTGCCAAGCAAAGGATGCTCATAGTATGAGCCAGGCCGGGAAGGAGCGGGCAGTGGGGACCTTGGCTGTGGTCACCTTCCCCATTGCTGTGGCTGCTGGTGTTGGGCACCAGGGAGATAACTGGGGGGGCTGGACAGGGTTGGGAACTCTGCTTGCTGTCTATAAGATATGGAGTAGAAATTCTCTATTTTTGCTCTCATTTCCTGAGGGCAATATGTGCACTAGTAGTGTGCTGACATCTTCAGATAGCTTATGTCTTACTCTTAATCTTGGTTTATAGTTGAGATGGTTATACTGAAAGCAGTTGAATTGTTTGCCCCAAGTCCAGTAGCTTCCTGAGCTAGGTCCTTATCGCTTTGGAAGCTGACAGACACCCAGGATCAGCTCCTGGTCCTTGACTGACTGGCTGCAGTAGGCATCTTCATAAACCTTTGTGTTAGGACTGAGGAGTGCATGTAGCCTCCACCACTGCTTCAAGCTGGGGCAGTGACAGAGTCTCCTCTGCAGACCCACAGGCTGAAGGAGAGTGTGGCTCCCGTGCTAACCGTGCTGACTGAATGTGCCCGCATGCACCGTCCAGCCAGGAAGTTCCTGAAGGCCCAGGTTAGCAGAGGAGCCAGAGCACCTGGGGAATGTGGGCTGGGCCTGGTCACAGATGCTGAGCTGCTCCAAGCCCAAGCTGAGGGACACTGCCTCCCTAGGTGCTGCCGCCCCTACGGGATGTAAGAACTCGGCCCGAGGTGGGGGAGCTACTTCGGAACAAGCTGGTCCGCCTCATGACACACCTGGACACAGATGTGAAGAGGGTAGCAGCTGAGTTCCTCTTCGTCCTGTGCTCTGAAAGTGGTGAGTTGGGGGAGCCCAGGCCTGGCCTTCCCTGCCCACCAGCTCATACACTGACTTATGCCCTGGCCCCCAGTGCCCCGGTTCATCAAGTACACAGGTTACGGGAATGCTGCTGGCCTTCTGGCTGCCAGAGGCCTCATGGCAGGAGGCCGGACCGAGGGGCAGTACTCAGAGGATGAAGACACAGACACAGATGAGTACAAGGAAGCTAAGGCCAGGTGTGTGCCCCCCTATACCCTTGGGTTTCCCTCACTGCCCCGAGTCCCTGCTTGCTACCCAGCTACTCTCCTGTGATGAGTGGAAGAGCCCTTCCAGAATCAGGCACCTGGTCCAAAGTGGCACGTCCTGATCTCTGAGCCTAAGGAGCTCGGGTCCGGGAGGTCTGGATTGCTGGAAGGACCAGGGAGAAGCTGGCTAATGGCTACTCCTGAAAGTTTCTCCCTGCAGCTATCACCCCTGCCCTCCTGTCACCAGGAGAATGGGCTTCTTGCCAGTCCTGGCCTAGACAGGAAGATGGGGACTCCACTGCCCCCAGCCCCTCTTGTCCAGGAGTCACTAACATTCCCCATCCCCCACTTTGGGAGGCAGCATCAACCCAGTGACTGGCAGGGTGGAGGAGAAGCCGCCCAACCCTATGGAGGGCATGACAGAGGAGCAGAAGGAACATGAGGCCATGAAGCTGGTGAACATGTTTGACAAGCTCTCCAGGTATGTGTGGTGAAGAAAGGCCTGCATCTGGGAAAAGAGGTCAGACCCACAACCTGTCTTAGGAGCCCATGGAGGGGGGTCACAGAAGGCCTAGGATTCTGGGCAGGCTGCATTACTGGTGTCTGAAATCACCTGTCCTGGAAGAAATACCTCAGAAGAATGTAAGGGTGAGGTCAGTATTGTACCCATTTTACAGATGAGGAAGTCTTGAGGCCAAGAAAGTAAAGTCTAAAGTCTCAAAGCCTAAAAAAAAATTATCAGTTAGGACTTGGTCCTGCTTAGCACAAAGTTGAACCCAGGCTTCCCCAGCAACAGCCAAGGATGAAAAAGACCCCTGCCTGGCATAATAGTTCCCTTACCTGGCCCCACTGCACCTTTTTCCTGCAGGCACCGAGTCCTCCAGCCCATGGGGATGAGTCCCCAGGGACACTTCACATCCCTGCAAGATGCCATGTGTGAGACCGTGGAGGAGCAGCTTTCCTCAGACCCAGATTCGGACCCTGACTGAGGATGGTGGTTCCTCTGCTCCACCTTCAGAACTGGTGCTGCTTCAAGAAATATCCTTAGGGCTGCAGCCTTGGGAAGTCCAGCCCCTCTTCAGCTGGAGTCCCTTCCTCTTCACACCCCAAGTTGTGTTCATGATTTGCCTCTAGTCCTATTTCTTATCTTGAGGACTGCAATGGTCTTGTCCTGCTGTAGCTCTGGAAACTTGGCCCTGGTTTCTACAGGTGAGGCCAACCTGAGCAGGCAATGTGTGGTGTGAGCCCATCTGGTGCTGGCATGCTCCATTTCACAGGGGAAAGGATGTGCTAGAACTTTGCCAGTCCACACACTGGCTGCCAAGGTAGGCGCCTTATTAAGTGTCCACCAAATGAGGTCAGTCATCCTTCTGCATTCCCCTTGGTCCTGCCTCAGCCACCCACCACAGTATCCACATACCCATGTTCTCATTGGCTGTGATACCTGAATGTTAATCCTACCCACAGTCTGTGGTTCAGACTAACTACTTATGTGAAGGAAAATCGCCCTCATGAGACCGTAAGATGAAATCTTGAGATTTCCAAGAGTCAGGGAAACATCCTAGAATAAAGAAGAGTTTTGTGCAAGACTGAATGTACGTGTAAAACAGTTAAGTAAAGTGACATTGAATAGAAATAGAAACTAATACTGTTCTTTTCAGGATTTGACCCTTTTAGGTTACTATGTGTATCTTTTGTTATCACCGAGAAATAAGGTCATGGGACTCCCTTCTGTGGCATCTGTCACTTAAGTCTGTCTCTGACAGCTCTAGCCCAGCGCAGGCACTGCTCAGGGACAGATGTTTCCACACAATGCCAAGGACATGCCCATAGGTGGGAGCCAGTGTGAGTTCTGCCAGGGCACAGGGGCAAGGCCAGAAAGGTTCTCTGGGAGTGATACCTTCCATGTGGATAGAACTGGCTCTCGTGCCATTATAGGAAAAGGCCCCAGATGGGGAGGGTATGGGGACAAGGTGGATTGGAAAATGCTGGACAGACTATCCGGAGGAGGCAGGTGTGAACATCACAGGCGAAGGCCAACAAATGTGACAGCCAGCAGAAGAAAGGTGAGTGCTCCGATGGCAGGGCCATCTTGAGGGTGAATCCAAAGTCAGACAGGCTCAGTCCAGACTGCTCCAAAAGGGGAAACCCACATATCCTGAAGGGTTCTACTTTGCATAGGCCTATTAATATCTGTTGTCCTTTTAATGAGACAAAAACAAAAAGGATACATACTTTTGATACTAAAATTATTTCATGCAAGAATGAAGGATAACACTTTCTCTAACAATAATCCTACTGCAGAGAGAAACATGCTAGAAGACCCTAGCACATCACCTGAGCCCAAGCCCAGGTCTAACAGATGTGCCAAGCTGCCTCCTGACAGCTAGGATTCCAGTTGTCTGCTTATATTCCAGGGGTTCACCCTCAGCACAAAATGTCTTGCATTGAGATTATCAGCAGAGTAAAGACCCAGATGCACCAAACAGGCCAGGCAGCTCTTTGGCATCCATGGCTAGGTGGTCCTGAGCACAAACGTCCTGCCCAGCAGAGGTCCTGGTACAGCCCTCCAGCACCCACAGTACCTCGGGCTGCATGTCATGGTTTGGCCAAGATGCGTGAGTCTGCCCAGGCTGTCTTCAGAAATGGGATGTAGATCTCTAATTGTTTCTTGTACATGGGACAATCACCCTCCTATTTGTCTCGTCCATCCAGCTGGAAGAGAGGAGAGAGGAAATAAGTTGGCTGGCACATCTCAGGCCTGGATCAAATATATAGCTGAAAACAAGCAAAACATTTCATAAAACAGCCTTACTCCTTGCAGATGAGCAAGTTAAGAGATCCCAGGAGGCCTGCCAGAAGGGCTAACTGGAAATCCTCATTCTATGGGATTTTAAATACCCAGTCAGTATGTACTGATGCTTACATGCTCAAAAACATTGCCTGTTTAGAAAAGTAACCCTGTGGATGGCAATTCGTTAACAAAATTTTTTTTTAAATCATAATCTATTTTACATAAATTTCTATGAAACTAGGAAATAGCACAGGTCAATTCCTGTAGAGCCACTTCCATAAATCCATAAGGGCTCTACATTGTTTCTACATAAATAGAAATCAGTACCACGAAACCTCACAAGCCTGCCAGGCTGATCTATGAAGATCTCAGCTGTCGTAGGAACTGGCTAGAGGGCACCTGCCTCAATGGGTCACATTCTAGGTTCTCTGCTTCCATCACAAAGCAAGCCAGCAATATGACTTTAATATTCAGTGGTCTGTATTCCTATACAGTGAGATGAGAAAACACCAGCCTACATCTTAGCCCTAAGAACCAGATTCTGAAAGGAAAGCCAAACCATTAATAGTGATGTCTAATAAGCAGAAACAGCAAATGCTAAGTTTCATATCCTTAATAAGTCTTGTATTCTCCATTGGCTCAGTCTGAGTATAAAATGAGGCTGTAATCGGAGGGTGGGAACTTTTGCTAGTCGAGATAAAGGAAAATGATGGTCATGGTCATGAGGCAGGCACAGATGAAGACAAAGGAGAAAGGGTTAGGGTTTCCTGAGATACCTGACGAGGACAAGAACATCAACTGTTACATCCTGATGAAATCCTTGGGCACTGTTAAACCTTTCTGTAACCATAAAATTGGGCTTCAGATGGTAATGCTACCTCCTATAGAAAACATCCCGGATTGAGGAGGCTAAACATGTTAATTTTCACAGGAACCTGCATTTTCTGATTTCACTTGCTTATGGGAGGTGTGAAGTCTAGAAAACATCAAGGCCCTCTGGTTTTCTCCTTGGTGGGTGGTAACAGACAATGACTCACACCAGCCACTTCCCAAAAGCATCTCTGGTTCAGGCTTCATCCCAAATGATGCAGAGAATTTCAGCTATTCAGAGCCTCAGAGAGGAGCTGTGCAGCTGCTTCATTTTAGGAAGCAAAAGGCAGTGGCCTGTGGGGTAACAGGAACTGCCTAGAGCCCATCCCTCCTCGGCCACTGTTTACTGTGGGGCCTTGGGAGCAGAACAGGGCATCAGTTTGTTCCTGAGTGCTGACAGTTCAGCTCAGAGCTCAGTACAAAATGGACAGCAACATCAGCAATTACTGTTCTGGCCAACATGGCTACATTCTGAGTCAACCAGACCCTAGAGCTCTATGGCCTGTACCTTTCCAGTTTCCCGCTGGATAAGATCCTGCAACTCTTCTGTCCAGCCCAGAAGCTCCACCAGCCTTTGCACGCTGTGAACCACATCCCCCAGCTGGACCACATCTCTGCTGCGAGGACGCCAAGCAAAGGACCCCACTAGGTCCCGGTTGATGAACAGTCGAGGCACTGAGCCACCTACAGCCTCAGACAAGCTGGCAAAAGGTTCCACCTGAAAAACAGCATGAGGGTCAGGAGACAAGGGTCACATCCTGGGATGCAGGGACTTTCCCAGTTAGTCTGGATGGCCTTCTCCCAGGCCTCCTTTTCCTCCTCTCCTGCTCCATTTGCTTTGGCATCTCACCACCTCCATCCCTCCTGCCGAACTGCATTCTGTTCTACCTACCACACCACATGGCCCCTGCTGGTGGCCTCCACTACACTTGTCTCCCACCTGCAGAGGAGCCAGAGCCTCTGCAGGATCCTGACATGAGGTACTGTCTCACCTATCATTACCAGCAGAGAGGCAGGCCTAACACCAAACCCTCAGGCTCTCAAATTTTCTTTCACAAGTAACAATGTTAAAGATAAATTAATAGGTAATGTCAAAACTGGGAGGAAAATTATCAAGTCCCACTTTTCACTGAAAACGTTTCAAATGGATTAAGGATTTAAATGTTCTTGAAGAAAGTGGGCTTTACAGGAAAGGGTATGAAAGGAGTTTTTAAGCATAACAAGTTCAGACGAAATCAACAGATTTGACTAAATACTGTCACTTTGGTGTCAACATAAAACTATCAGAAAATTTTAAAATTTAAAAAATTCATCACCATAAACATTTACAGTATATGTGAGTTTATGTTTCTAATTGGTAAACTAATTCATAAACATGTAATTTAGGAACTAATTTATGTTGCTAACTTATAACCCAATGAAAAATGGATGAGGTACCAATATGCAATCCAAAGAGAATAGAAGTAGTAAATAAATATGAAAAGAGGAATTTCACTCTTGCAGAAATGTCAAATCTCTCATACTATTTTTTCTCAAAAATAGCTTAAGTATTTTATTTATAACCACACTTGTTAACACTGTATAGTGAAAATGTAAAAAGAATAATGTTGCAGCTTTTGGTTAGATTTAAGATAGAGATACTCATTAATAAGGTATCTTCAAATGTGAATATTTTAGAAATTTCTCAGAGCCACCTGATCAGAACATCTATCTCTGAATATTACCTTGCTTTGAGAAGTGTTGGCATACATTTGAATTAAACTCCACTTTCAAAATAAGCCATAATCAAAAAACTATTCTATAGTCAAACAAAAACAATTTTAACAGCACTTTCTTTTCCAGAAACAAGAATGAAACAAGGTATTTTGTAAAATGTGGTCCTGAAGAAATCACAGTAAAAAATAAATGTATACTTACTTCTACCTCAAAACAGAATACTTTTTGTTCCCCAGTGTCTTAGTTACTTTTTCCCATTGCTGAGACAAAATACACAACACCCAGAGTTAAAGGAGGAGAGGTTTATTTGGCTCAAAGTCTGTAAAGGTTTCAGTCCATAGTCAGCTGGCTCCAAGGAGAAACAGCTCGTGGTAAGCAGAAGACAGCAAACGCAAACAGGCAACAAGCCTCTTTTTCTACTTCACATCTTATCCAGGCTACCTGCCCTTAGGGTGTGTAGCACTCACACCCTTAATCCTAGTATTTATTGTATCCTGATCCCAGCAGCACATGCCCTAGATCCAGCCAAGTTCAAAAAGCCCCATCTATGACTGCGTGAGCCTTTGGGGGGACACCTAGATACAAACCATAATACCCAGCACTGAAAACAAACTGAAGAAGAGACTATAAGCAACTTTGGACAAGGGGTTGCCATGGACACCTCAGAAGAATTTGGGGGAACCTGACCAAGGATCTGAATTATATATTTAATAACTGATACTAAGATGAAATGCTTCCTCCCAAGTAGCAGTGCTGCCAGGGCCTGGCCCAGTCCTGTGCTCACCTATGTTATGCTCCTGAGCATAACCTGCTATAAGGAGATCTTTCTCCTGTACAGGCTCGGTGTCAGGGAGTGCTCTGATTGTGTGAATGAGGTGAGCACTGACTCCATGGGGTATTTTAGGGCCTGGAGTCAAAGTATTTTTCTAACAGGCTTCTCATTTGTTCTAATTTCTCACCATGCATTTGGGGATCTCGGACCGCAGAGCTTTGATATATTATCATAATCACACTTAATGTCCATACTAACTTATGATTCATATTCTGTGCCTGGAAACAGTCCCTGTATTTCACAGTAATACTTACACATAAAACAATCTACTGTTACAACTTAAATGGTCACAAAACGTTAATGATTTTCTATAGACCAAGCAAATGTTTTTAAGCATAATTGTCTCATACACACTATTTTTAACCAAGACTGACTAAAGACATAATTTTGGTGTTGGTGAGGATATAAAAATATGGTCTCACACACTCTTCAGGATGCTCCTGTACATCCCCAAACCTGTCCAAGTGCAGGCCACAACCCTGGGTCCCATGGGCATCCTGCAGGCCTGTGACACAGCCCTCCATCCTGCTGGCTTGGCCTGGCCACCAGCCAGCACCATGCAATCACCACCTGCAAGGCCTCTGCTAGCCTGGCCCTGTGTTCCAGTCACAACACACAGCACTTACAGAAGCTGGTCCAACAGGAGTCGGAGCAGCACCCCTTCTTGGTGCCCTGTCATTCCCTTGGTCCTACCATCACTGCCTGCTATGTGATACCCCCTCCACTGAAACCCTCACCTCCAGTGCCATTGCTGATGAAGAACACAAAGTCATCAAATCTGCACTGCAACCTCCTTGTCTCCCAGTTTCCCTGTCCTGCCTGTTATGTCTGTCCCAAGTACCAGGACAGGACCATGCTAACAGCAGGCAGCAACAGTGACAATCTGAGCACATACACAACCGTGGGACTCAATGGCCAGCTGGCCTCTGAGCACAAGGCTCCCTGGTCCTGCTGCCCCTTGCTGCCTACATCTAGTCAAGTACCAGCTCATTCCATGGTCTTATTTCTTGCTATCATCATGCCTTTTAGAAATCTCCTGACATTCAGACCCATATATAGAACTGCTGCTTGGACACATTCTGCAGGCATCTCCCAGGTACCCTAACCATATTCAGAGCCTAGCTCAGCATCCTCCCTGCCAACTGCTCTCAACCAGCAAACCCATGACCTAGTAGACTAAGCCACACACCACCTTCTCTCTTGCCTTCTGTAGGACTAGTATCTAATTCCCAGGCCCAAGGGTCAGCTCTGTCCCTGGCTCCGCATGGCACTAGTCTTCCTGATCTGGCCTGGGCAGCCAGGTGCACCCTGCCTTCCCTTCCTGCTTTCCTCCTAATCCTCCTACACAGCCTGCAGTGCCAGCTCCCCCCACCAGCACTTCAGTGGGTGATGCCTGCATAGCTGCCTCCTCCCCATCCTTCAGCCCACCCCCCACAGGCTTTCTGACAAACCTTCAGGGAGGTCCCAAGGATAAGCAGCAGATCCGCCATGGGGAAATCAAGCACATGTAGCAAGAACCTCTCAGGCAGTGGTTCCCCAAAGAACACGATATCAGGCTTCATGATGCCAACGCAAACTGGGCAGCATGGCACCCTGTCCATCATCACATCAGCCTGGAGATGAAAGAGAAGGTGGGTCCAAGGAAGGCTCCTTTAGGAGGAAAAGGCAACAACTTCTCAAGGAAGTTTCAAACATGCACAGAAGCACATGCCTAGCTTCAGTAATTACCAACACTTTGCCAACTGTTTCATATAATCCTCCAAAATTTGTCAAAGGATTCTGTTGTATTTAAAGCATGTCCTGGACATAACATGGTTCCACCTACAAATTCTCCCTCAGGCTCCATGTCTAATCCCACTCTCCACTTGGGTAATATCAGAGGAATACCTGGGGGACCCCAATCCTCAAACAGTACTCTGTGCACGTCTGGCCCCAGAGTCAGAGGCAGCAGAAACCTTGTGCCTGGTTTGAGCTGTAGTGACCAGGCCATCACTTCAGCATTGGAACACATTCAGTCAGCTTCAATTCATTGTCTGGCACTGACAGGAGTAACAATACCTGCCAAACATCGCTTCCTGTCAGGGCAAGGTGAAGCAGGTGACAACTTAACTGGACCAACACCCTGGGAAAGATGGGAAGGGAAGAAATAGAAGGAAGACACATGGTTTCTCAAATCAACCTTTATGATCGACGGGATTTGTTTTAGCAGGCTGAATCTCACTAGAATGAGCAGAAATAATCACAAGAGACCCACCAAGGACTTCAGATATTATGAGCTATAGATAATAAAAGGGTATATGTTTAGGGTTGAGGATTTAGCTTAGTGGTGCCACACCTGCCTCGCAAGCCCAAGATCCTGAGTTTGATCCCCGATACCAAAAAAAAAGGGACATGTTTAAATTAAAAGAAAAAATCAAACAAACAAAAAAACCCACAAGCTTGACGTATCTATTAAGAATAGGAAACTAGCGAGAACCGGCTGCAGCACGGACTGAGGAGGCAGGGTCTGAGACAGAGGCAGCAGGATGGGCACTGTGGCCGGGATCACCACCATCGAGGCAGTGAAGCGCAAGATCCAGGTTCTTCAGCAGCAAGCCGATGATGCAGAGGAGAGGGCCAACGCCTCCAGCGGGTGGTGGAGGGAGAAAGGCAGGCTCGGGAACGGGCTGAGGCAGAGGTGGCCTCCTTGAACCTCAGGATCCAGCTCATTGAGGAGGAGCTGGACTGTGCACAGGAGCACCTGGCCACTGCCCTGCAGAAGCTGGAGGAAGCTGAGAAGGCTGCCGATGAGAGTGAGACAGGCATGAAGGTTACTGAAAACCGGGCTCTGAAAGATGAAAAAAAGATGGAACTCCAGGAAATCCAACTTAAAGAAGCTAAACGTATTGCAGAAGAGGCGGATGGGAAGTATGAAGAGGTGGCTCGAAAGTTGATGATTACTGAAGGAGACTTGGAACGCACTGAGAAGCGAGCTGAGCTGGCAGAGTCCCGTTGCTGGGAGACAGATGAGCAGATCAGACCAGAACCTGAAGTGCCTGAGTGCTGCTGAAGAAAAGTACTCCCAAAAAGAAGACAAATATGAGGAAGAGATAAAGATTCTTACTGATAAACTTAAGGAGGCGGAGACGCATGCTGAGTTTGCTGAGAGATCAGTAGCCAAACTGGAAAAGACAATTGATGACTTGGAAGAGCATCTCTACAGCCAGCTTGAGCGAAACCACCTGCTTTCTAATGAGCTGAAGCTAGGCAGGGCTCCCTGATGCCCAGTAAACCGAGCTCACTGCTCACACCACTGACCTGGACCCCAGCAAAAGCTGATTGTCTTTTCCAAAGTTATTATTTTGCCCTAAACAAGTTGTTTTTTACTTGGGGCAGTTAGAATACTATTGGTTTCCTAATAGCACTGTAAAGTTGAAACAGTTAAATACTGCATTTCTATCCCTCTATCAGAGATTACGGGTGACAAAGGAAGGGACCCAAGAGGCTGCAGTGAGAAAGCTTGGGAGAATTTTCTGTTTTCCACCTTCTCACTTGTGCACTGACCATAGGATATGATCTCTTGCATGGATGTTTTTCTAACAATAAAAAGACTGACTTGACAAAAAAAAAAAAAAGAATAGGAAACTATTAAAAATGTGATTGACCTGAAAAAGAACCAAAGAGAACGTCTAGAAATAAAAACTAAACAAAATTAAAACTCAATGGAAGAGGGCCAGGGATTTAGCTCAGTGGCACTATACCTGCCTTGCAAGCACAAGGTCATGAGTTGGATCCCTGGTACCAAAAAACAAAAGAAAAAAGAAAAAAAACAAACTGAACGGGAATACTTTATTCTCTATAACAGAATCGAGTGTTGATGAGCTGGACACAGTCAGAAGAAATCACCAGAATGCAACAAAGTGAGAACAGGGGTGACCACCACCATCAGAGAGCAGGTGTGATGCATGTCTTCTCAGAGAGCCACAAAGTGAAGGAGGGGGCAGAGGTGACCAGCACTGGAAGACATAATGCCTGAGGGTTATCCAGCAACTATGAAGAATCTAAACTCAGGAAGTCCTACACATTTCAAGAAAAATAAAAAGGACTCCATATAGAGATACAACACAGTGAAACTGCAACTCTCCAAAGACAAAGTTTCTAAAATATGCAGAAAGCTGGTATCAACAAATGCTAAAATTAAAAAGGAGGAAAACAAAGGCAGAGGATGGACACTTTCCAATGCCAAGACTCACTGTGGAGTTACAGGAATCAAGATTGTGGTACTGGTGAAAGAACAGATGCCGAAATCAACAAGACAGCAAAGAGGCCAAAGTGACAGAAACAAACACATCAACTAATCTTTTTGGTTGTTTATTTTCTTTTTTGAGACAGGGTCTCATTATGTAGCTCAGGCTGGCCTTGAATTTACTACACTGCCCAGGCTAGCCTTGAACTCACACCAATCCTCCTGCCTCAGCCTCCTGAGTGTTGCAACACAGACATGTGTCACTATTCCTAGCTATTAACTAATCTTAACAAAGGACCAAAGCATCTCAATGGAAAAAGAACTTTTTTAAAGTAATGCTGGGGATTAAATAAAAGGCCTCACACATGCTAGACAAGTGCTCTTATACTGAGCTACATCCCTGATTCTCTTTAGAGTCTCATTAAGTTGCCCAGGCTGGCTTCTAGCTTGCTATCCTCCTGCCTCAGCCTTACAGTAGCTAGGATACAGGCATGTACCACAGCATCCAGCCAGATGTTTCAAGAAACAGTACTGGAACCAATTGTTACTGGATGTCAACATACAAAGAAATGAACCTAGACACAGACTTATACATGCCACAAAAATTAACTAAGATCAAAGACCAAAATGTTAAGGGTAAAACAAACTTCTGTAAGATGACATAGGAGAAAACTTAGTTAACCTTCAGTATGGCAATGACCTGTTAGATACAACATCAAAAGCACAGCTGATAAAAGAAATAACTGCCAGGCCTGTTAGTACATGACTGTAATCACAGTAATCAGGACTGAGGCAAGAGGACTGCCATGAGTTTGAGGTCAACCTGATCCATTAGTGAGAACTGTCTCAAAAGAAAGAGAAAAGAAAAGAATAGAAAGAAGGCAGGCAGGCAGGAAGGAAGGAAGGAGAGAGAGAGAGAGAGGGAGGGAGGGAAAGGAACTGATGTTGAAATTTATTAAAATTAAAAGCTTCTGCTCTGTGAAACACTGTCAAGAGAATGAGAAGACAAGCCACAGGCTTGGAAAAATATTTGCAAAAGATATATCTGATAAAGAACTATTAAATAAACAACTTAAAACAACAATAAGTAAACAACCCAACCAAAAAATAGGCAAAATACATGAGCAGAAATGTCCCTATAAAGATGACAAGCACATGAAAAGATACTCAACATCACAGGCCTCTGGGAAATGCACGTTAAAACAAGGAGCCACCAGTACACACCTGTTAGAATGACCAAAGTCCAGAACACTGACAACACCAAGTGCGGACGAGGACATGGGGCAATAGGAAGTCTCTCTTGCTGGTGGTGGAAATGTAGAGTGCTACAGCCACTCTGGAAGACAACATGGTGGTTTCTTACTAAACATAATGCTATCATACAATCCAACAATTATGCTCCTTAATATTTATCAAAAGAATTTGAAAACTTACATCCATACAAAAACTCGCACATCAATGTTTACAGAAGCTTTATTCATAGTTGCCAAAACTTGGAAGCATTCATTCAAGATGCCTTTCAATAGGTGAATGGAAGTTGAAGCAGGAAGACTGCCACAAGTTCATGGCCAGCCTGAACTATATAATAAGACCCTGTCTCAAACAAAACGAAACAAAGACATGTGTGTGTGTGTGTGTGTGTGTGTGTAAACTATGGTATACCTAGATAATGGAATATTACTCAGTACTAAAAAGAAATGAACTATTAAGCCATGAAAAGACACAGAAAAAATTTAAATACACATTGCTAAGTTAAAAAAGCCAACCTGGAAAGTCTGCACACTATGTGATTCCAACACTATGACATTGTATTCTTTTTTTTTTTTTTTGGTACTGGGGATTGAACTCGGATCCTTGCACTTGTGAGGCAGGTGGCAGAACCACTGAGGTAAATCTCCAGCCCTCCAACACTATGACATTGTGTAAAAGACAAAGCAATGGAGACAGCAGAGAAGTCAGGGGTTGCCAGGAGTCGGGGACACACGGGATGAACAGGTGAAGCACACAGGACCTTCAGGACAGTAAGTCTACTCTGGATGATACTGTATTACACATCTGTCCAAACCCACACAATGTACAGCAAACCAAGAGGGAACACAAATGTAAATGATGGACTCTAGCGATAGTCATGTCTCACCATGGGTTCATCCACTGTAACACATGTCCCACTCAAGTAGGGGCTGCCGTATAATATGTGGACAGAGAGTACCTAGGAACTGTCTATACTTTCTACTCAAGTTTGTGGTGAATCTAACATTCCTCTAAAAAAAATAAAGCCCTGAGGGATTACGATGGAGGAGTAGAAGACAGCAGCATATTACAGTTTCTCCCAGACCTGGAATTGAGACACCTGGAAAATAACTTTCCAAAGAGAAAGAGAAGAGGAGC